ACGTACATACATACATACATTCGTACATACATGCATCTCTCTCTCTCTGGCTCTCTCTCTCTCTCTCTGTCTCTCTCTCTCTCTCTCTCTCTCTCTCTCTTGCATTGTTCATCTTCATCCACATGGCGCCTAGCGTAGGAGAAGAGCATGATGACGGATAGGCACCATGCCCATGGATGGACATGGGGGTTGCGTGTACTCGTAGCTGCAATGCGTATTCGTAGAGGATTCTGATTCCTAGTGCCTGGATCCCATGCCGGAACAGACGGAGCGGTTCCAAAATCCTCACGAGGACTACGGAGCATCTTCGGACAAGATCTCAGACCTGTGCGCTCCCCAACAGAGCACTTTGTTGTAGCATGCGCAAACCGTTCTAAGAATGGTTTGAACATTCCTGAACCCGAAGCCCTAAATCCCCAAACCCAAACCCTTAAATCCTAAACCCTAGTAAACCCATGAAGGGGTATCCTTTCTTTCTCTGGGCACGAAGCTCAATGTTTTGCTGCTCCTTGCGGCTGAGGATGGACCTGCCTCGCCTTTCAGCAAGGCCTCGGCTGCATGAGGAATGGGATGAAGCAAGTCTTAGGGCTGTTTGGGTATATGTTATGAACACTGAGGCACTATGAGGAAACTTTACTACAACAATGTTTGGGTGAAGGGATGTTTAGGGTTTAAGGCCACTCCGAGTACGAGTTTATGAGTACTGTTATGTATGAGCTGTTGTCACGTTTAATTGGGCTTCGGGGGCTTCTCTCTTGGTCCTCGGAACGCTGAGTCCCCTTGTTCATGCCGGCTTCGGATGTCGTTATCGCACTCTGCTTTTTGTTTTTGTAAAACCCTTGCTTTGTCCGTGGTCGCCCGTGCCGAGGCATTGTTCGTTGACAACCAAGTAACTGCTCGGTGAACATTCAACCTCTCGAGTCGGTGCAATTCCGTGGTGCAGCGGAGAGGGCCAGGAGTGAGCTGGGTGTCAGATCGCCCCTCGAGCTCTGTCGGTGGAAGAGTCACGTGATTTTCAGTTCTTCAGTGATTTCTGTGCACGACTCGCTTCGTTGTACACTTGAGCAGAACGTCCAATGTCCTTTGTCCAACTGATTGTTTAGCAGTGACTCGAGTGGTTTTTGTGCCATCAGATGGATCACGGTTCGCGCGGATTGCGAGATTGAACGCACCAAGGGACTGCATGGCCGCGCTTAGCCAATTCGGTGATGACCTCGGAGACGGAGCACATTCTTCGTTGAAGCACTCCATCACAAAGCGTTGACAGGCATGTGGCAACAGTGGAAACATGCAATCGACCTGTTTGCGCCTTAGCGGACCCGTGCCTTTGTGTCAGCACGCCATGTGGGCCAAGCTGCTCGGGTTCAGAAATTCCTGCTGGAGGTTGGGACGGATGACCTCTAGACGCAGAGACCTTACTACTTCTTGCTGTGAGGCCTGTGAAGTCCAGGCACGGCTAGTAGCTTTTAAAGTCGGATCAGATGGTGAGCATGAGCATAACGCCGAGATGTGTTGGTAGGGCTGCTGCGTCCTTCCAGTGCTGCTTGCTGTGCAGAATTTGCGGTAGTGATGTGTAGATGCCTTCGACTTCAGCATGCATGAGGTCCGTTGCCAGAGTATGAAAGGGAAGGAGCGAAGTCTAAGCTCCGGCAAGTAGGCCACAAATGCTTGCAGTTCCAGAGCAGTCCGTATGGCAGGGAAATGAAGACAGGGCTCCTCTCTCCAGCTGTATCTCCCAAGATTGACAAGATGCTATGTCCCTTACCGCAATCTCTGAATCTGAGACTTTGCTGGCGTGAAGGAGGCTTTGGGCACGGCAAGTAGATGTAGCCAAAGCGATCCTGTGACGAAGCTGGTTCACTTTCGGATCTGCTGTGTAGCTGTAGCGCCCTGCGGCCGTGCCGGACAAGGTGTGCAAGCAGATGAATTCTTCTTCAACAAGCTCATTAGCATGTGTGCGGCGTGCCAGGAGAATGCTGCAACTGATTGATGTGCCCTTTCAGATGTCAGAGTGTTTTGATTGCTTGAATTTGTGAAGCAGGCGGGGAGGCCTGGCTCTGAGATCTCAGACGTCGCAAGGGTGGAGTGTCTTACGGCTCGCCGCCACTCAGGACATGTCTGCAGCTTCTGGGGGACATGGAGCGAGCTCGTATTTGCCCAGATTTGCGGGCGTGCCATATGCTTACACTGCCTACACTCCTTCCTTCGATGCAGCAAACAGAAGGGCGGAAGCCATGTTACAGACCATAAAAGGCAACGCTGCCATTGCGGGCCTGAGCAAAGAATCCTGGGAGAAGGCAGGCGGCACATGGCGGCACATGGCCTCTCGGCGCATCCGCCCTCTCTGAATCTGGGCCGGGCCAGGCGCTGCAAGTGCTCGAGGGTATGAGATCGAGGGGCACGCGTCCCGACGTTGTCTGATCCTCGAGTCGTCACCTCGAGTATCCTCGAGTTGGAGCAGCGCAGACTTGCACTCGAGGTGACCTTCAACACTACGATCTCTGCCTGTGCATCCGGCAAGAAGTGGGCCGAGGCAGGAAAGACGTGCAGAAGTTCCCGCCCTGGCGTGAAAGCGACGGCAGGCATTGCAGCTTCTCGAAGAAGGAAAGCAAGGTCCTTAGCCCCTGCAAGAGGTGGTCATCGGAGACCAGAGCGACAAATGTCCGATTTGGCGTGTGCAAGGAAGCTGCCTTCCGGTCCGGATCAGATGACCTACGGCGCAGCTATCAGCGCTTGCGAGGAGCGGCACCTGGCTGCCACCGCAGCAGCGTGAACGCTATGCATTTTCAGCATGAGTGTGTGCGGCTGGTGAGTGCGTGCCCAGAGTTTCAGGATCACTGGGAGCTGGCTTTGCATCTTTTGAATGACATGTCGGCGAGCAAGCTGCAACTGAACGAGGCACCTTCGCTTGCTTCTTCTCAGGGGTCGAAGAACGCTGGGCATCTGCTTGGTAGTTTTGTTCCATGAATTCGGTCCTCAGATTCCGAGGTGACTTCGGCCTCGACCATCCGCGCATGTTCGAACGGGGACAACCCAGATCTTCGCCCGGTTTAGCATTCTGTCGAGCTGAGTTCTTGTGTTGCTGGGTTTGGGCCGACAAGCCCAGCTCCTAGGAGTCCGCGATCGAGCTGTTGCGCGCCCTGCAGCAGAAAGCTGTCAGGCTCGGCTTCGAGCACCCGGCTCTCTGTGCTGCAACACATCTTCCATGTCTAGGCAAAACGTGGTCACCTACACGTCCGCGATGGCTGCGCTCGGGGCTCTGGACAGCTTTCTAACGCGGTTGCCAGCGGCTTTGCAGAGACGAAATTGCAGGACTGTGAGTCTGGGAGTGATGAAAAAGACCGTGGGGTGTCGTCGATGGGTGTCGGGAGGCAAAGAAACGCGCAGCATGACATTGTTGGGCGACGTTCGGAGCCGGCAAGGGCAGAAGGGAGGTTTTGCAGGGCCGCGCAGCCCAAAACGCACGTCTCTCTGAAGCAACGGATCTAGCCGTCCAGCAGAGGGGCACGCAGGCTCTGTCTCGTTGGTCGTTGGCTGGCTTAGAGAATGACGAGTAAACGCAGTCGATCGGCCAGAGAAATTCGCCAGGACGGCCTGTTTTGCAGGCTGTATCTTCGGTTGTTTGGACATCGCCCGATAGTTGTGTGTGTTCAACACAGTTTGACATCAAAACGGACAACATCAGCTGCCGCGCAGCAGGCGCCGGCTCGAGTAAAGCTGATCCAGCGACTCCAGTGCACGCCGTTGTGTGGACCAGTGGAGATGGGCAGCGTTTGCTGCGGGTTGCGCGAGAGAGTGGAGGATGAGTGGCCACCTCGACCACAGATGGACCCCAAGCATGAGGAGCATGCCTTAGGCGACCTGCCCTTCGCGTCCGGCATACCTCATTTTCGCAGACACTGGTAATGTTCCGTGGATGTCATACGCACCTGCAGTCAGCCCTGGTGCAGCTGTGCCACTTCGGGTTGCACGGCTTGACCCGGGCCCTCTTGCCCAGCCGCCCCACAGCGGACTCCATCATCACGTTGCTCTTGCTCGGCCAAGATTGGCTTATCACTCTTCGAGGAACCATCACCGTTAGGTACGTATCGTGGACTTCCGCACTCAGGCCGGGCCGAGATGTGATGAACAAAACGAAACCGACCCAGCCCTGGCCTCTGCAACTACGGCATAGTTTTGGAAGTGCCCACGGGCGCCTTTTGCCAGCTCCGCGAGATCGCCGATCTCCGTCTGTGGGCCTAACGCCGGCTGTCGTCCCATTAAGGGCGTGCAGGTATGTTGTCAGCTCGGCAAGCATGTGGAGGTGCTCCTCAAAGGTCTGTGGATCTCCCTCGGGACCCAAGCGCCTCCACAACCGTCAGCTCGTTGTCATGCCGGTCCTCCTCCAAGGCCTGGTCCTCCTTCATCTCTCCCGGCAGGATTTCTGGAGGTAACGGCTTCGTGGTCGTGCCCATCCTCCTCGTCCCGGGCCGTCTCCTCATGCCGCCGCTCCTCTAAGGCATGCTCCTCCGGCTTGGGGTCCATCTGTGGTCGAGGTGGCCACTCATCCTCCACTGGTCCACACCACGGCGTGCACTGGAGTCGCTGGATCAGCTTTACTCGAGCCGGCGCCTGCTGCGCGGCAGCTGATGTTGTCCGTTTTGATGTCAAACTGTGTTGAACACACACGTTCCGTCAAAAAATGTGCCACCCATCATCCTATCGTGTAAACATGTTTCATGACTACTGAACATCCACAGAGTAGCAACCGTTGTGGCTTTGCCTGCTCGTCTCAAAGGCAATGCAACACTATATGATTATGCAAGGGCAAGCGCAGGGGCAATGACAGTAGCGGCAGCAGTGACAGTAGCCGTAGTAGCAGCAGTTAGAGCCGGAAGTAGAAGCAGCAGCAGCAGGAATGGGAACCAGCAGTGGCAGCAGCAAGGAGTGGGAGGCGCAGTAGCGCAGTCGTCGTCGTTGTCGTCGTCTCGTGAAGTCGTCGCTGTTGCCGTCTAGATCATGGTCGTTGTCGTAGTGGTGGCGACAGCAGCAGCAGGAGAAGCCCTCAGTGCCAGCAGGTTGCCTTGTTTGTGAGTTCAATACCCTGTCAACACAAACAGTGGCAACAAGTGCATGCTCATGAAAGGTAGACTCGTTTAGGTGCCATCGCGACCAGTTCTTGTGGCCTTGGTCATTGTGTCGGCCTGAGCTTGCCAATGTTTGCCAGCTTCCCTATACCCAGAAGCCTGGCATCGGCACTCTCTGACTCCGCCAGGAGCTCCAGAGTCTATCAACGCGTGCACGTGGACTCGAGGTAGCAACAAAGCTCCGACTGAGGTGGCTCCTCTCCAAAATGAAGGATGACGCGGTGGAGATGGACATTGGGCTGTTCAATGCAGCAATGGGCGTGTGTGGTTGACCGAGATGTTTGCAGCCAGTCGTGTTGAGCATGTTGAGCCTTGGCAGTGGCACTGCTGTAGGTCGCGAGGCCCATGGCTTTGGACACTTACGGTTCCGTCCTCAGCTACAGGCTAGCGGGTCGCAGCTAACTTCAGGGGAGAAGTGGGTCCCGAAGGAAGCGGAATATTGGACAAGTCGAACAACTCTTCAAGGCCCGTTGCCCAAAGTGTTCCGAGCTTCTTCCAGCCTCGATGGCCCAATGTCAGCTGCATAGAGGCACTTCTGCCCCATAAGCAGGATGTTCAGTATCATCGCTTGAAACCCGACGTCGTCACCTACAGCCATGTGATGGCAGCGGTTCGCGAGGCGGTCATGTGAATACGTGTGCCGAATATTGGTTCCACCGCGGTTCTGCCAGGCAGGCGAGTGGGAACGGGTCCTGGAAGTCTTGGATGAGGCGTCCCCTGCTTAGCGACTCCCGAAAGGCTCATCGCCGGAATGTCACGGTTTTGAGAACTTTCCCTTTGAATTCTAAGGCTTTCTTCCAATCTCCGGCAAGGGCCTTAACAGCCATTACTGGAGGTACAGTATGTGCTGTATGGTGGTATTATCTGAATTGTAGAGGATAGCATTGTAGACACGTTCTCAGGGCAGTCTTCCCATGTCTTTTGATCTCAAGGGCAGACAGCCAGTTGTACACCAATGCCATTGCGGCCTGTGCAGATGCAGCCAGCCCGAAGCCCAAGTCGGCGTCATCTTCAGAGCTTCAGGATGTTGGGCCGTGTTGCAAAGGTTGGCAGAGTGCCTTGCACTTGCTAGGGATCGCGACTGCCGTTGGCAAAGCTCTCGGACTCGGAGCCTTTGGGGCCTTGCATTTCGCCGCTTCTGACGCTTGGACGAGGTCCTTCGGAGCATCACTGGAGCGCAGCGATGACGGCATGCCATATGCCTTGAATTGTTATATGTGCATGTGTGGAGAGCAAGCGTTTTCGCTTCGCATCAGGTTCCGATGCGACCCAGTGGCAGTATGTTTGCACCTTAGCTTGGTTGTGCGTGTGGCATGGGCCATTGGCCCGTGAAGCAGTTGATCTCGATAGCACTGTTAGCAAGGCCCTGTTGCTGGCCAGAGGAATGACGGATGACGCCCCGGCATATTGACTGGGTTTGCAAGTTTTGGTGTTGCTTGCTAATGCCTGCCAGATTCACTTGTCTCCTGGCGTCGTGAGCTACACCGCCATGATGAGTGCTTGCACGCATGGTGGGATGTGGCAGAGCACCCTTCGGACGCGCGCTCAGGATCGTGTCGTTGCTGCTGTTTTGAAGGTTCTTCCCAGTCTTCCGGGTTCGTCTTAGAACGCTGCTTCCTCTCACACACTTGCAGGCCAACCTTCGTCTTGTCGGGACTGTTGTGCTCAGGCTGTTGGACATGTTGCAGGCTGCTGGCGAAGCGCCAGGGACCCTTGTGGCAAAGTTTCGTACATGCGTCGTGGATTGCTCTCCAGAGGCCCAACTATGTCACCATGACGGCCGTGTTTCGGCCTCAGAAGTATGCTCGCAGCCGGTGTGTTTGAAGCTCCGCGGAATTTCAGGATCAAGGCTTGCATGACAAACACCAACTGGGCTGCCAGCTTAGATCTTTAAGCCTCCCTTCGAGCTCCGTGTGTTGAACTCCCTTTTTCCCAGACTTTTGCGCTGCACTGGAAGAGCATTCTGGACAAGCTCGGTGGCACTGGCATTGATTTTGCGAGCCTCGGAAGAGCATTCAAACACTTGGAAGTCTTTCTGGTCGTGCTCGAGGCGTGAGTGGATACTTCACAACCTACACGTACCTCATATGGCTCTGTGCCGAGGTTGGGCCGCAAGTCTAACGTGTAACGTCCCTGAGAGTGGTCTGGCACCATGCGTGCAGGCGGAGCAATGGGATTGGGTGGAGTATCTGATGGCCGAGAGTACCACCAGGCGCAGCCATGGAACGGCAAGTCTCGCGACGATGGAGCCTTGGTTCCTGTCAGGTTTCCGAATGCGGAGAACTTCGATCAACGCCAGGTGAGAGGGTTTGCTTCGGAGCTATTCCTCTGTGAGCCTCTTTGCCATCCTTGTCATGGTGAGCATTACATGGCAGGTCTTGTGCCACCTGTAACTCAAGGTGAGGATTTGAATCACGAGTTGACGACAGTCGCCAAAAGCCATGAGTTTGACATTGTCTAGTTAATCTAGTTTGACCGATGCAGCAACAGGTGCCTGTAGGTCAGCTGTTGCAGCTGTATGTTAAGTAAGTCGACGCAAGCATGCCAAAAGCAAGCATGTTCTCGCGATGACGCCACTTCGGCGAGGCTTCCTGACATGTAAGTATTCTCCAATGATCTTCTTGCGGTCAGATCAGTGTCACGATCTAGGCTGGCCACGTGGCCGAGCTTCCGGATTTGAATGTCCCCGGCTTTCGGTTGCCCCCGGAGGCATCCGAAGATCCAAGCCTGATGAGATCTGATGCGGCGGCATCGCAGTGCCTCGCCTGCCAGTGCTCCAGGCTCGCAGCATCTCTGAATTGAAGTCTTTTCGGTTTTAGCTTTCCCTCTTTCTTCGTCTCTTTTGGTGAAAGTGAACGCCCATCGTACGGCCTTTGGATTGTCTGTCCGTCTCGATGTCCGTGTCTCTGTATATGTGTATCTGGATGGAACTTCGCCTGTGTGCAGGCGTGGTGACTACAGGAACCCGAGGAGAAGTATGGCGAGCCGTTGCCCTGCAGGTCTGCACCGTCGGTTTTTGCAGAGAGCGTGTGGCAACGACGATTCGACGAGCCAGGCACACTTGCTGGGCAAGGACCGTCCGCAAGCCCGCAGCGCCTCTGCGCGGCGGCGCCAGGTGCAGATGAGGGGGGGTTTTGTAACAAGCCTCCTGGCGAGAGCGCCAGGAGACTCCACAGGAAGCGCAAACTTCCAGGCCGGTGGCCCGATCCCTGTGATTTCTAGGGAGAAGCAGCCGTGACAGGAGTGCTCCCTGTTCGGGATCTCGTAGGGTCCTTGGCAACAGGTCGCTGATTCCGAGGACTGGGCCGGAGTTTTGGAGCCTTCCAACAGCTTCAAAGGACAAGCGGAGCTGGACTACGATGAGAAGCTGAAGCGACACGAGGCGGAGCACTGAGCGGGCCAGAGCCATGCCTCCCGAAGCTCGGGGGCGGCAGGCATCGTTGACCTTGGCACAACGTCTGGGCTTGGTGGCGAAGCCGGCGCAGCCCCTTACCCACGAGCAACCAGCTCAGATTCTCACAACACCTGGCATGCACAGTATTGCACAGTGTCAAAGTGAGCCGCCTTCGGCGCAGGCAGTGGGAGCAAGTGAAACATGCCTCTGACTCTCGTCAAGACAGTGAAGTACCCTGCAGCATTTGCCGACCACTTAGGGGAGGGCTAGGCGGAGAAGCGACGTGCGCAAGAAGTCACAGCTAAGGCCTGGAGGACTTCCGGACGAGACCGCAGGTGATTCTAAGCCAGGTGCTCGGTGCTGCTCGGTTATCGCAACGTTAGAGTAGACTGGGCCATGCTACACGGTAATGCTTCGTGACCCTCTTCCAGCTGACTCAGGTTGCAGCCACGTCTTCCATGGCGAGTCGGATGCCCACACTAGTGTCACACCTTTGAAGCAGCCGGACGGCAAGGTGTGGAGGTGTTCAGATGGATCCAGGTGCTTGCGCAGCTTTGAGCGATTTTCCGGCAAGCGGTACTGCCCCCTGTGTTGGGAACCTAGCCTTCTCTGGCTCTTTCGTTTGCATCCATGTGTTGTGCTTGATGGTTTGTACTCGCCTGCACCAGATCGTGTTGGAAGGTCGCTGTCCATATTTCGATGCGACGATCCACTATTCAGGGCTCATGGCAGCTGTCTCGGCAGTCGTGTGGTGGCCGCGGATGGCTGTGCAAAATGCTCAGGTTTGGCGAAAGAAGTCTGCAAGCAGAATTCAGCGGGCATGGCGTGGCTACCGCAGCCGTGGGGAGCCGGAGCCTTTGGAGTCTCAGCTGCGCCTTGGGAGCAGCCTCTGAGAAAGAAGCCTCAAGGATCTTCTTGCAGCTCCGGCAACCACAGCTTCGTGCGGAAGCCCCGACCTTGTCCCGGCCCTGTGCCCGCTGCGAAAGCTGTGCTTTGCTGTGGCCACTGTCGACATACGCTGCCCGGGCGCCCTTTCTCGAGCACATAGCAAGAGGCCTCGGGGGCCACGCGCGTCGTAGTTGAACCAGCATGGTGACAACCCGGCTGGTTCGTTGGCTTGCGCTGTGCCAGTTGGCGGTCAGCAGAGAGGTGATTCCGGATCCATGCGGCGAGAGCTGCGTCAGTCGCCCAGATGCAGGTGACACTGCCTTGTTGCAGACAGCAAAAGCCTCTGCCGAGCCCATCTCTTCGAAAGAGTTTGCGGAGAGGATGCAGTGCGATGCACAGCGGAATTCCTTCTCTATCAACGGAGGTGACTGGACTTTCGTCTTGGGCAATTTCCAAAGCCCTGGTATCCTTTGGGAGGACCTTCTGGTAAGTTGGGAGAAGGGAGGTCCTCACAAGGAGTACTTTGGCATCGATTACACGTTCATGTCGCAGACTTATAGCTTCACGGACTACCTGACTGTCTCCTCTTCTCTGGGTGTGACGCATTTTCCCATGACGCTCTGGGCCTCGCAAGTCATCAAGCTAATTCTGCCGTTGCCCTTTCCCACTGATTGCAACCATTTCTGGAAGGAGCAGGGCTTCAGCGGCCTCTACATCTCGCCGCCATGGTCGCTGGAGGAATTGAAAAGCCCGGGCTTTGACGACGCAGGCTGGCCGCGATCCACGTACCCCAAGGATCTCATTGTTGACAGCTTGACCTTCTACATCACTGTCCAGCCATTTCTGAAGGTTCTACCAGGCTGGTATCCGCTGGCTTGACATAAAATAAATAAAGGGATGTGCCACGACATAGAAGAGGACAGATGCCTTTTTCCCGAAAGCATCGCGAAGGGTTCTTTCGTGCAGAGCCCATCAAAAAAGTACATAGGATCAAGTACACGGAGTAATAGTACACGGAGTGAAGTACATCGACTGACGTGCAGAAGTGCATCGAGTCAATTGCATAGTACACAGAGTGAAGCACATCAGAGTGAAGTACATCCATTGAAGTGCATAGTATCAAGTGCATAGTACACCGAGTGAAGTAGATCAGAGTGAAGGACATCGAGTGAAGTACATCGAGTGAAGTGCA